CCTTCGACCATGAGATAATGCAACTCCCGTATACCGGAGGAATACCTTATGTGCTATCAAAGGTCACAACGTAAATTAGTGATCATAAAGATGCTCTACATGTATCTCTGAAGGTGTCTGTTGAGTTGGCATGGATTGAGATTGGGATTTGTCACTCCATGTGACGGAGAGGTATGGCTGGGCCCTCTCCGTAGTACAACATCACAAGAAGCTTGCAAGCAAAGTGACTAAGGAGGTAGTTACGAGATGATGTATTACGAAATGAGTAAATAGACTTGCCGGTAATGAGATTGAACTAGGTATGGAGATACCGATGATTGAATCTCGGGCAAGTAACATACCGACAAACAAATGGAACTACATATGTTGTCATAAAGGTTCAACCGATAAAGATCTTCGTAGAATATGTAGGAACCAATATGGGCATCCAGGTCCCGCTATTGGTTATTAACCGAAGAAGCATCTCGGTCATGTCAACATCATTCTCGAACCTGTAGGATCTGCACGCTTAACGTTCGTTGACGATATAGTATTATATGAGTTATGTGAACGTTCGTTGACGATATAGTATTATATGAGTTATGTGAATTGGTGATTGAATGTTGTTCGGGGTCCCGAATGAGATCACGGACATGAAGAGGAGCTCCGGAATGGTCCATAGGTAAAGATTGATATATAGGACGATACTATTTGGTCTCCGGAAAGGTTTTGGAATGCACTGAGCATTTATCAGATCACTAGAAGGGGTTCCGGGTGGCTACGGGGAGTTATTGGGCTTAACGGGCCAAAAGAGGGGAGCACACCAGCCCACAAGGGGCTGACGTGCCCCACCTCATAGGCACCGGCCCTAGGGAAGGAAGGGGAGGCGGCTAGCCCCCTCTTACCTTCTCTTCCATGTGAGAAAAAAGAAAGGAGGGGGGGCGCCTCCCCTCCTGCCTTCTCCCCTGCGCCATAGGAAGGAAGGGGGGCTCACCTAGGGCAGGAGCCCAGGGCAGCCGTCGGCCCCCTTGGGGGTGCCCCTAGGGCTGCCTCCTCCTCCCCCACCTATATATATGAGTAGAGGGAGATGGGCAACACACACCATGATCCCCAATCCATGTGCGACGCTCCCTCTCCCTCTAGTTCTAGTTCCTCCTCCATCCATGTCCGTTGTAGTTCATCACCACCGTCATCACACCGTCGTGCTGCCAGAACTCATCTACTACTTTGCCTCTCTTGCTGTATTGAGAAGGCGAGGACGTCATCGAGCTAAACATGTGCTGAACATGGAGGTGTCGTACGTTCGGTACTTGATCTGGACGGATTGTGAAGTTGTACAACTACATCAACCGCGTCGATAAACGCTTCCGCTAAGCGATCTACAAGGGTATGTAGATGCTCTCCCCCCCTCTCTTAGCTATGCATCTCCATGGACAGATCTTGCGTGTGCGTATATTTTTTTTTGTTTTCCATGCAACGTTTCCGAACAATTGCATCTTCATGGAGTGGTATTGTTAATAGTAAGTATACTCTCCTCTTAGTTGGCCAACAACTTTCTTCCACATCTAATTCATGGGATCTCCAATCACATAGACTAGGTTACCACTGTGAACAACTCATATTGTGGGTCTCATACCCATCTCCTTCGATGCATTATCTATCACATTACGTGATAGACCATTAGTAAAAGGATCTGCCAGATTTTTAGATGTTTGGATATAATCCAATGTAATAACTCCGGAATTTTCTCATTTTTCTTGATAGACTTTAACCTTCTCTGAACATGTCTCGATCCGCGCCAACCCAACAAACACCTTCAGAGATACCTGTAGAGCACCTTTATGATCGTCCAATTACGAAGTAATGTTTTGATACAAGCTAAGTATTCCTCCGATGTCAAGGAATTGCACGATCTCATGGTCTAAGGAACATATACTTGACATGAAGAAAGTTGTAGCAAATAACTAAGCAATACGATCTGTTGCTCAGCTTATGGTTGGGTCTGTCCATCACGTCATTCTCCTAATGATGTGATCCCATTATCAAATGACAACTCATGTCTATGGTTAGGAAACCTTAACCATCTTTGATCAACGAGCTAGTCTAGTAGATGCCTACTAGGGACACATGGTGTGGTTTATGTATTCACACATGTATCTAAGTTTCGGTCAATACACTACTAGCATGAATAATAAACATTTATCATGAACAAGGAAATATGATAATAACCAATTTATTATTGTCTTTAGGGCATATTTCCAACAGAAAGCACCCGCCTCAGACGTCTTTCCCGCACGCTTCTTCCAAAGGAACTGGGGCGTACCGAAAGAGGAGATCACAAATGTGGTAATATTTTTTGAAGACGGATCATCCCTGATGGGGTAAACGAGACAGTTATTGTGTTGATTCCAAAAGGAAAGAGCCCATAGAGCATTAAGGACTACCGATAGATCAACCTTTGCAACGTGATTTATAAGGTGATTTCTTAGATCCTAGTTAACTGACTCAAACCTTTCCTAGATGATCTTATTTCGGAAACCCAAAGCACCTTCTTTCCTAGATGGCTCATCACAAATAATGTCGTCATCGCATTTAAGTGCTTCCACAAAATTCTTTGTGAGATGAAATGGACCAATTTGGTCATGAAGCATGTCACATCGGTGAGCTTCTTTATGAGATGTAATGGTGAACTTTTGAATTCTTTCCATCCTTTGAGAGGTTTGCGTCAAGGTGAACCACTAAGCTCGTACTCTTTCTCCTAATGGTTGATGTTGTGTGTACTTTGTTGCGCAAGGAGGTGGCTAAGGGGGGAGGTTTGCGTCAAGGTGACCCACTAAGCTCGTACCTCTTTCTCCTAATGGTTGATGTTGTGTGTACTTTGTTGTGTAAGGAGGTGGCTAAGGGGGGTCTAACACCGATAAGGTTCCAAGGGTGAGCCCAGGTATCTCAATTTTTTTATTTGCAGATGATAGACTCCTATTCTTTAATCAGAGCTACCTACCAGGGGGGTCTAACACCGATAAGGTTTCAAGGGTGAGCCAGGTGACCTGACCGCGACTCTTCCCATCGATGGACCTCCACCAGAGCTACCTACCCACGCCGGCTGCCCGGCCGACTCTGCTCCGGCTGTCGCGGCCGTCTCCATCAGCTCCTACCCGGACGCCGCTCCGAGCGCCTCCCCTCCAAACGCGTCGTATTAGCTCCTCCTCTTACAACCGAGGCCTACAGCTGTCGTCGTGCCATACCTTGGCGGCATCACCGCCGACGCCTCAACCCTCCTTCCTCCCATCCTCCCATCCACACGGTGCACCACGGCCTCTCAGGCGCGTTGCCGCCTTCGCCGCCCCCATTATTCCTCGTCGGGGCATCGCGTTCCCGCTGCCCCCACCCCGTCGGCAGTGTTTACCCATTTCGTCTTGAGGCACGACATTGTTTTTCATCCAGCGATTGGTTAAATCCAACTGAAGCGATTGTTTTTCGTCTTGAGGTATATCCTTTCCTTCAGGCTCTCTCTTGTTGTTGGGTATAAGGTGGACCTCATGGGCCTACCGGCAGGCCTCTGCTGCCGGGCTCCTTGCTGATGAGCCACCCTTGATGTATGACACCGTCACTAGGTCTTTTGTACAAAATCTAGAACAATCCAAAAAATTAGGACAAAAGTAGAGAAAACATAAAAAAATTAAGAAAAATACAGGAAAATCTAAAAAAGAAAAAAAGAATAATAATTATATTTTAACAAAGATATAGAAAAAATGTAAAAGTGCCAGGCGGGCCGCCTCACTGGGTTCGGACCGTGTCATGCCGGCCCGCAATTAAAAAGGTCGTGTCGTGTCCGACCGTAAGGCCTGACTTTTGGGTCGGCCTTGTTCCATAGCGGGCCAAAGGCTAGCCCGGCCCTTTTGATTGCGTGTCGTGCAGGGCCGAAATTCCATGCCCGCGGGCTGGCTCGCGTGGCACGACCCATATGGTCAGGTCAAGCCAAGATCGATGGAGTCGCACCTCACCAGACCTGACCGCGACTCTTCCCATCGCTGGACCTCCACCAGAGCTACCCACCCCCGCCGGCCGCCCCGCCGACTCTACTCCGGCTGCCGCGGCCGTCGCCACCACGCTCCTACCCGGACGACGCTCCGAGCGCCTCCCCTCCAAACGCGTAACCGAGGCCTACAGCTGCCGCCGTGCCGTACCTTGGCGGCGTCACCGCCGACGCCTCAACCCCCCTTCCCCCCATCCACCCATCCACCCATCCACACGGTGCACCACGGCCTCTCAGGCGCGTTGCCGCCTTCGCCGCCCCCGTTATTCCTCGTCGGGGCATCGCGTTCCCGCTGCCCCCACCCCGTCGGCAGTGTTTACCCCCCATTTCGTCTTGAGGTACGACATTGTTTTTCATCCAGCGATTAGTTAAATCCAGCGACATTGTTTAGCGGTGGATGCAGCCGAGCAAGTAGGTGGTAACAAGTTTGGGATATGTCTTTCTTGCATCTGCTGCCCCCGATGTTTCTTCCTCTGTAAAATGAGATGCTGTATTGGGTTCATTGCGCTTGAGACTATCAAACATACCATTATCTTTTCTTCTCACAATTGAACCTGAAAGGTGAATTTTCTCGATTTGCAATTCAATTGTTGTGTGCATCCCTGTTTGCTTAAAATTAACAAATGGCCCAATTTGCAATTGGGGGCAGCTTGTTCAACTTGCTCTGGTCGATTCACGAGCAGCATTTTCCAGTGTGACAAATGACAGTTTCCTGAATGCATTTGTATGAACAATTGAATTTTTTAGGACATAGTTTATACACTCTAGGTAAAATTATGATCCCGTTATTGCTGCTTTTACTTGTAGTGCTAATGATTATTGTTTATGACATTTGATATTTTGATTGCCAGATACTAGTTTTGATATGGTGTTGTAATGACAAATTTGTTCCCCATCGGTGATTCACAGGGTACAACATGCCATTTTAGATGATTTATGGCGCCAATCACCGCACTTAGCCTTTTCTTATTCTGCAGATCAGCAGATGGCTAGTAGCTCCAATGGCCATTGTCCAGCTAATGGTGCAAAAGTTCTTCCTGGAAGGGGGAAGAAGAATCAGGAGGTACTGATGGTTTGAACATCCCTGTAATGATTTGTTTCTACTGTAGATTACATTTAAAAAAAATGCATTGTTTGTTGGTATTGATATGATAGAATAATAATTTGCATGATGATATTGATACTGGACTACTCTTGCATTGATCGTTCACGTAATGGTATGTGGTACTTAGATGGTTCCTCTTGGGTAATACTCCCTCCGTTCCCAAATATAAGTCTTTCTAGAGATTCCAACAAGTGACTACATACGGAGCAAAATGAGTGAATCTACACTTTAAAATATGTCTACATACATCCGTATGTTGTAGTCCATTTGAATGTCTAAAAAGACTTATATTTAGGAACGGAGGGAGTATCCTGCATGGCTGCATGGTATTGATTGATGTGTTAAGAGATAAAATTGCTGGTTTGGTCGAAGTTTTGGAACATATTATGTCTTACTTAGAGTCAGTCGCAATTTTCCATGATGATTATGTTTTCTTGAGATATGATGAGAATGTATTTTAAGCATTTCACGTGGTCGCATAATGATAAAAATGTATTGTTCAAACTTGAAACATGTTCAGAGTAAAGTTTTTTTTATCATCACTTTGCTCTGTCCTATCCAAGTCAAATAGCAATGCAATTTTTTTAATGAAAATATTCTATTTTTGAATAGAGATACCACTTCACTGAGTTGGTAGTTTTGTTAATGCAGAAATTACAGCTTGACAAAGATGCAGCTTCTAGGGCCTGTCAGAAGGACAGGCAATACATTGAGAAATTGGAAACTGAGCTGAGCAACTGCTATCAGGAAATTGGTATGCTCTAGGAATTATTCCATTTCTTGTTCCTCTGGCTATTGCAAACCTTATTACTTATGCTGTCTTTGCTGATCGCAAGTGCAGACTATTTGCAGGATCAGTTAAATATCAGGAATGTTGAAGCAAACATCATGGGAGAGCATATTCACGGCCTTGAACTGAAGCTAACTGAACTTGAGAAATTTCCTGAGAGAGTGAGAGTTATGGACAATGATCTGATGCGGTCTGATTCTCAGTGCTGGCTTCTGATGGAAGAAGTCCAATGTAAAGAAGAGGAGCTGCAAAAGGCAACCTTACAAATAGAGAAGCTTGAAAGCGTAACTTTAGATATGCAATGTGAAATTGAGAGTTTAAAACTTGATTTGACTACGCTTGAGCAAAGACTGTTTGATGCTGAGAGCTTTAGCCAGCATACTGCTGAGTACAAAGTTAGAATAGAGAAGCAACTGGAAGAACATGAGCTCCAGCTGCAAGAGGCATGGAAGACTATTGGTCATCTTGAGGTTGAGAATAAACAACTGAAAAAAGAGTACTTGCCTGGAAGAGCTCCTAAACAATCCTCTTCTACAGGCGTGGAGCAACTTGATAAAACAGTGGAGCATGATGGTCATGCAGACTATGAAAGAGGTCATGAAATTCTTGAAAAGATGGGGAAGCAAAATGAAGAACCTGAACTTATAATTGAGCAGCTCAAGGTCAGAGTTTGTGTACTATCGTACTTCAGCATTTTGGTATAAGTTCGTTCGAATACGTTCCATCTGTAGTTTTATACTTCCAAGCAAGTTCAGGAACAAATTATTTTGAACATATCGCTATGGAATTTAGTTACTTACACTGCTAGTTGGGTAACTTCAAGGATCTGTCTGTTTTGTTGATTCTGATTTCAGTATAACTTGCCCATTTCTGGTGAGATTTAAGTGTTGCTCTCCTTGTTAGGTAGAACTTCGAGAACAAAAACTGAAAGCAAAGGAGGATGCAGAAGATCTCACTCAAGAAATGGCTGAATTGAGGTACCAGATAACTGGCATGCTTGAGGAAGAATACAAGCGTCGATCTTGCATTGAGCAAGCGGCTATTCAACAAATTCAGCAGCTGGAGGCTCAGGTAGTGAAATATGCTCTTTTTTTTGGTTCCGAATTGTAACTGCACCAGTAAAAATATAGTTTCACATATAGCTCAAGCTGTTGCTCCATAAGACCATTATTTGAATTTTGAATCTCATCGCATGATTACAAATGAAATAGACACAATCTCTTAGTCTTGTCATATTGACAACCCCTCTACACCCTGATTTAATTTTGTTTTCTGATATTCAAAACCAGGTCTCTAAAGAGCAAAGAAAATTGGGCGGAGCACTAAGACGACTGCAGGAATCGCATGAGCTAGCTGACACACAAGCTACGGAGATTAAGAAACTGAAGGATGCTTTAGGGGTATGTGCATGTAGGTTATAGCATCCCACGAAAAATGAACTAACCTTTGCAGCAGTCTTCTGCTTGATACTAGTTGTTTCATGGTACTGATACACTGTATGCATATGCCTCCATTGTAGAGATTGAACTCTGCAATGAACCTCGGGAGGGTTTGCAAATCTTGCTCTTGCGGGTTCTGTCCAATGCTGGTAGAGATGTCTAATTGCTCGATTGAAGGGTCGCTTGACCTCAGATCTTCCGATGCCAGCAACAATGTCGAAGCACCGGAGAACCAAGCGCTAGTAGAGTGGCATCCTGATGAAGCTTCAGATGGTGCCACAGTAAATAATGTAGGATGCTAGATGCAGATGCACTCATGTGTGCAGTTGCTGTATATAATTCTTTGTGCCACTGTTGTTTGTAGATGCATTTGTAACCTTAGTGAGCTGTTTTATTTACAGATTACCACTTGGAGTTAAGCTCCAACGGCAGCGCGAATGTAACTTGTAAAAACTTCATATTTATCGTGTCAGATTCAGCCTCAGGACTCACAAGGATGTTACATGTATTAGCATACACAGATTGAGTTATTTCTCTGCAATAGGATCAGAAACATATTCCAGGATTAGAAAAGAAATGGTGAACATCATAGTTTTTTTTTTTGAGGTGAAATAGCGTAGCTTAGATGTTTTTCTTTTCTTTTCGGGTAGATGGTTAGGTTCCTTCTACAACAACAACAACAACAATAAAGCCTTTAGTCCCAAACAAGTTGGGGTAGGCTAGAGGTGAAACCCATAAGATCTCGCAACCAACTCATGGCTCTGCCACATGGATAACAAGCTTTCACGCACCCCTGTCCATAGCTAGCTCTTTGATGATACTCTAATCCTTCAGGTCTCTCTTAACGGACTCCTCCCATGTCAAATTCGGTCTACCCCGCCCTCTCTTGACATTCTCCGCACGCTTTAGCCGTCCGCTATGCACTGGAGCTTCTGGAGGCCTGCGCTGAATATGCCCAAACCATCTCAGACGATGTTGGACAAGCTTCTCCTCAATTGGTGCTACCCCAACTCTATCTCGTATATCATCATTTCGGACTCGATCCTTCCTCGTGTGGCCACACATCCATCTCAACATACGCATCTCCGCCACACCTAACTGTTGAACATGTCGCCTTTTAGTCGGCCAACACTCCGCGCCATACAACATTGCGGGTCGAACCGCCATCCTGTAGAACTTGCCTTTTAGCTTTTGTGGCACTTTCTTGTCACAGAGAATGCCAGAAGCTTGGCGCCACTTCATCCATCCGGCTTTGATTCGATGGTTCACATCTTCATCAATACCCCCATCCTCCTGCAACATTGACCCCAAATACCGAAAGGTATCCTTCCGAGGTACCACCTGGCCATCAAGGCTAACCTCCTCCTCCTCACACCTAGTAGTACTGAAACCGCACATCATGTACTCGGTTTTAGTTCTACTAAGCCTAAACCCTTTCGATTCCAAGGTTTGTCCCCATAACTCTAACTTCCTATTTACCCCGTCCGGCTATCGTCAACTAGCACCACATCATCCGCAAAAAGCATACACCATGGGATATCTCCTTGTATATCCCTTGTGACCTCATCCATCACCAATGCAAAAAGATAAGGGTTCAAAGCTGACCCCTGATGCAGTCCTATCTTAATCGGGAAGTCATCGGTGTCGACATCACTTGTTTGAACACTTGTCAAAACATTATCGTACATGTCCTTGATGAGGGTAATGTACTTTGCTGGGACTTTGTGTTTCTCCAAGGCCCACCACATGACATTCCGCGGTATCTTATCATAGGCCTTCTCCAAGTCAATGAACACCATATGCAAATCCTTCTTTTGCTCCATATATCTCTCCATAAGTTGTCGTACCAAGAAAATGGCTTCCATGGTCGACCTCCCAGGCATGAAACCAAACTGATTTTTGGTCACGCTTGTCATTCTTCTTAAGCGGTGCTCAATGACTCTCTCCCATAGCTTCATTGTATGTCGCATCAGCTTAATTCCACGGTAATTAGTACAACTCTGAACACCCCCTTGTTCTTGAAGATTGGTACTATTAATTCCACGGTTAGGTTCCTTCTATGTTGAAATAAGCCCATTCAAGTCTTAGACTTGCACGGGTGCATGCATATTTCTAGAATTATTATTTTGGCCTTAATATTCCTAGAATTATTATTTTGGCCTTATCAACGACGTTTGATGCTCATATGGGCATGAACGATTTGTAGGAGTGATCGTACAACGCAGGATTTTTTTTTGGACATCACTGTATCATGTTACCTTAACAAGCAAGTAATAATGATCTAAAAATAGCTTAACAAGCAAGTATGCCATAAATTTGTTGTATAAAAAGAAGCTTAACAAGCAAGTTTGCCCTAAACTTGTAGACATTCCTTTTTTTTTGCGAGGAAAACTTGTAGACATTCCAATAGTAATAATTTGGTTTCAGTTATCCCACAAAAAAAACAATTTAGTTTCAGTTATTACAGGACGAAGTCAAGTCATAGCCAGAACATGATGCCAGGCAATCCAAGATTATAAAAATGCGATTTGCGAGGCAAGAACGATGTCATCTGCGACTGTCCTGGAAGAAAAGGACATCCTCCTTTGCCTCCAACTCCAGTTCTGCCGCCCAGCCCAGGAAGAAGCAGGCGGCCGGCAACCTCTCCGCACCCTCGTCGCGCGCCTCCTCTCTCCTCTCCTCTCAGGTTCGATCCATTCCTTCCTCCCACCTCTCTCGACTCATCGGAGATCCTCCGCCCCAGGATGCGGCTTTCGCCTACCTCAGTTCGTTCCTCTTGCCGGTCTTCTTCCGGCGACGGCAACTCGCGCCGGTGGTTTCTCGACCCCGGTTTTTTCAGGCGGAACGAGGCGACATGAGATCCCAGACTGTGATTCGTGTCGTTCTTGTGGGCGTCGACGAGTAACGACTGATCTTGGGTTTTGGTGTCTGAAGACATGGTCATTCTTTAGAATTTTCGCAGGGATGTTGTGCGATCGCCGTGTAACGTTTTGATTAAGCATTTACCCTTTTCTTCGAATGTCATAGATAGGTTTTGGACCACATCCACTATCTTTACTGAGATTAAATTGAAGCTTCTGAATTTCCTAAAAATGAGAATATTGACATGGTTTCATCGATTTGAATTGACAGCACTTTTTGCTAGTATCTTTTCAGGTATATAGCACATCAAACCACATCCACTATCTTTACTGAGATTAAATTGAAGCTTCTGAATTTCCTAAAAATGAGAATATTCACATGGTTTCATCGATTTGAATTGACAGCACTTTTTGCTAGTATCTCATAGGTTTCATTCAGCGATGTTTCTTAGTTTGAGGCATTCAGCTTTCTACTGCCCTCCTCACTTATGAATTTTTAGACGTGGAGTTCACTACTTTTATCTCCAGTAAATACAGTCTTGAATTCCTTTCCCCAGTCTTCTTTACATTCTAACTAATCAAGTTGTGGCTACAAACAGGAAAGATGCCCGTGTCAAGCGTCGCAAAACCTTTGTCTTCTAAACCAAATCCATTCGATTCAGACTCAGACTCTGAATTTACCTCGAGGCCTACAAGAGCATCATCTTCCAACTCAGTTGATCCTGGTGCCAATGGCCGATACAAGAATGGGTTCCGCGATTCAGGCGGATTCGACAACCAATCCGTGCAAGAACTGGAGGGCTACGTTGCACACAAGGCCGAGGAGGTCACTCAGAAAGTGAGCGTCTGCCTTCGGCTCGCTGAAAACATCAAGGAGGATGCTACCAACACTATGATCGCCCTGCACAAGCAGGGTCAACAGATGAATAGGACCCATGAAACCGCTGCGAACATTGATCAGGACCTTAGCAGGGTAAGCTCGAAGCCGGTAGTTTCTTTTGTAGTACTTATTACTTGTGTTTGAGCTGTTGTTTTTTTTTTCCTTCTCAGAGTGAGACACTTCTAGGAAGCCTTGGAGGGTTCTTCTCAAAAACCTGGAAGCCCAAGAAAACTAGGCAAATAAGGGGACCGGCAGTTATCTCTAGAGGTTAGCACTTTCATTTGGCTCAAACAAGGTCGACTTTGAGTGTTCTCTTTATGCTGACATTGTTACTTATTGAAATAGATGATTCCTTCAAAAGAAGGGCTAACCACCTAGAGCAGAGAGAAAAATTAGGATTGTCTTCAAGCCCCAGAGAGAAGTCGAGTTCTCAGACGTATTCGGATCCTACCAACGCCATGGAGAAGGTTCAGGTTTGTATTGGTGCTGGGATCCATGCAGCATAAATTGGACCTAATGACTAATCACAAACCATTTTATTTGGCAGGTGGAGAAAGATAAGCAAGACAATGCCCTTTCTGATCTTAGCGATGTCCTGGGACAGCTCAAGGGCATGGCTCTAGATATGGGCTCAGAAATCGATAGGTACGTGCTTCGTCGACTTCAGTTCACCATGTCTTATTTCATTGGCCAACAGGGTGAGGATTCTTCCTGAAAAACATCGTACCCAAGTTTAAAAGTATCCTCACCCTGTTGTCAAGCACTATATTCCTTCGATGAAATGGCCATGGAATTGTACAGTCCTTTCCCGGTTTGTTTATCAGTGGGTTTGGAACAATGTTTTGCATTCAACACGTCTCACTGCCTTTTAAGCACTTACAGGAAAAGAAATGGAGATTGCTCACCAAGTTGTGCTTTATACAGAACAGTAAATAATGAGTGCTCTTGATTGATTGGTGTTTGTTCATCTTAACAAACTCCAAGAAGTCTGACAATAAATTAATGAAACATCACATGTATATTTGTCTTATTTTACGAAATTAAACAGTGTCATGATTTTAAGCTAAATGGAAATATTATTGTGTTTATGCTTGTGTTCACAAGTAACATTATGCATGTATGGCCAAGTAAGATTTTTGCGCTTAAAACATAGAGTAAGGATTCCTTTACAGTTGTTTTTTTCTTGGTCACTAAAAGGTACTCCCTCCGTCCCAAAATTCTTGTCTTAGATTTGTCTAAATACGGATGTATCAAGTCATGTTTTAGTATTAGATACACCCGTATCTAGACAAATCTAGGACAAGAATTTTGGGACGGAGGGAGTAATTAGGAACACAAGATTAAGGTGAAATATTTTCTTTCTTTCTTTGTCCTTAAAGACCCTTTTTTTTGCGGGGGATTGTCCTTAAAGACCCTAAGGCCTTGTACAATGGTAGGTGCTTAGAGGAGGTGCTTAGAGAAATAAATCAGGCTTTCCTTAAGCACCAGTGCCTATTTGTACAGGGTAGACGCTTAACTAAGCATCTCTCATGTAAAAATAAGCACTGGTGCTTCAGAAAAATCCGGTTTATCTTTCTAAGCACCTCCCTAAGCACCTACCATCGTACAAGGCCTAACGGCATGTTTTGTGAAACCATGTGTGGTGCACGTTTTCGACCTTGTGTGAAGACCCTACCTGCACTAGTGTTATGTTATAGAACTGAAACAATATTTTCAGATTGTAATGTACAATAAAACATTCCATCATGACCTTTTCTTCTGTTCTGTGCTTGTGCATCCTGCTGAATGGTGTTGCAGGCAAAACAAAGCCATTGACGGTCTACAAGATGATGTGGAGGAACTCAACTCCAGGGTGAAAGGAGCCAACCAGCGTGCACGCCGTTTGCTTGAGAAATAATATTGCCTCGAAAATGTATGATTGCAGTCTTGGTATATGTCATGTGGGGCACGTCTTACAGACGTGGGCCGCGCGGCCAGGAGCAGCCGACGGCCGCATCAGGCAAGGCGCAGGCTGGACAGGAGTCCTGATCCGGGCACATTAGTTCCTAGACTAGTTTATTTCGTATAGGTTTCTAGTTTGTTATTAGCCCATGGGGCCTTTATATATCAGATAGTTAGCACCCTTTAGGGATAAGGAATAAAGTTATTATCTCCTACCTCTTCCTCTGTCTCCTATCCTCTCCTCCCGCACCATTGAGCAGCCAGGCAAAAACCCTAGCGCCCCTATCCACCGAGACTACGAACTACGTAGTCGAGGCCCCGCTGTCTTGGGCACTGAGGCCCTTGACAACTTGGTATCAGGTTCCAGGCGATCCTCCTCCTCGTCCACGCTCCATCCGCCGGCCGCTTTCCCCCCTGTGTCCGCGCCCAGCTCCCCGACATCGCCACAATCCGCTGCCGCCTCGGTCACTTCCGACATGGCAGAACCGACCACCGCGGATCTTGCTAAGATGATCGAGGCCTTGACGGCCACGGTGATGTCCCTGCAGTCGTCCGTCACCGCACTCCAGAAGGACAAGTCCTCCTCTTCATCCAGCGCTGCCGCCGCCCATGATGGGCAGCACCACAATGATCGGCCGCCCAGGTTCCAGAAGATGGACTTCCCCAAGTTCGACGGCAAGTCTGATCCGCTCGCCTTCATCAACAGATGCGAGTCCTTCTTCCATCAACAACGGATCACCGAGGAGGAGAAGGTGTGGATGGCGTCCTACAATCTCGAGGGTCCTGCCCAACTATGGTATATGCAGGTCCAGCGCGACGAGGGCACACCTCCGTGGCGCCGCTTCTCCGAGCTGCTCAATCTCCGCTTCGGGCCACCGCTGCGCGCTAACCCGCTGGGCGAACTAATGGCGTGCAAACGCACGACGTCCGTCGTCGACTTCCAGGAGCGGTTTGAGGCACTCCTTCCCCGGGCAGGCACCTTATCCGAGACACAGAAAGTGCAGATCTTCACCGCGGGACTCCAGCCACCCCTCAGCCTCGACGTGGAGATCCATAACCCACAGTCCCTCGCCGTCGCCATGAGCCTCGCCCGCAAATTGGAGCTGCGCGACCAGTGCGCGCTTTCCGCCGCGCCACCGGTGCGTTTTCCACAGAAGGGCATCCTGCCGACACCAGGACCACGCCTCGCGCCCCCCGCTCCGGCCCCACCAGCCGCACCTCAGCAGGGCCACAATCTGCCGGACGGACGCCCAATCAAGCGTCTCTCCCAGACAGAGATGGAGGAACGCCGTCGCCTGGGCCTTTGCTTCAACTGTAACGAGAAGTTTGGCAGGGGCCACAACCGCGTGTGCCAGCGCATCTTTCTCCTCGACTTAGCGCCGGACGACGATGACGACGACGCGGCCTCCGCCACTGATGATGCATCGCGGGCCGACCCTCAAATCTCGCTCCACGCGATCGCCGGCGTGCGCATGAGTGAAACCATGCAGATGCAGATTACTCTCGGAGGTGTCTCCCTCCTCGCCCTGATCGATTCAGGCTCCACCCACAACTTCATCGCCGAAGAGGCGGCCGCTCGTGCTACGTTACCGCCCCCCACCACAGAGAAGATGCGCGTCACGGTGGCCAACGGCGAGCGCGTTCCGTGCCAGGGCGCGTACCGCGTCGTGCCCTTCCGCATCGGCCACGAGGAGTTCGCGGAGGATTTCCTCGCCTTGCCGCTCGCGGGCTACGACATCGTCCTGGGCACGCAGTGGCTGGCGTCGCTCGGACCGATCCTGTGGGATTTCCGAGCCCTCTCCATGACATTCTGGCGACGGGGCCATCGGGTGTGCTGGCACGGCATTGCAGGACCGGACGGGCCAGCCCTAAAATCATGCAGCGGCCGCGACTTCCTGGACGCCATCATCACCGAGTTCGACGGCATCTTCGCCGACCCCTCCGGCGTGCCACCGCCCCGCAGCCGCGATCACGGCATCACCCTGCTACCTGGTTCCGCCCCGGTGGCCGTCCGTCCGTATCGATACCCGGCCGCGCACAAGGACGAGCTGGAGCGTCAGTGCGCCGCCATGCTCGCCCAAGGTATCATCCGTGCGAGTTGTTCCGCATTCTCGTCCCCGGTACTGCTAGTCCGCAAGGCCGACGGGTCCTGGCGCTTCTGCATCGATTATCGCGCCCTGAACGCCATTACTGTCAAGAATGCGTTCCCGATTCCGGTGGTGGACGAACTCCTCGACGAGCTACGGCACGCTCGTTTCTTCACCAAGCTCGATTTACGTTCCGGCTACCACCAGGTGCGGATGCGTGCGGAGGACATCCCGAAGACAGCTTTCCGTACTCATGACGGCCTCTACGAGTTTCTGGTGATGCCGTTCGGACTCTGCAACGCGCCGGCCACGTTCCAGGCCCTCATGAATGATCTGCTGCGGCCATATCTGCGCCGTTTTGTTCTCGTCTTCTTTGACGACATCCTCATTTTCAGCGAGACATGGGCTGACCATCTCCGACATGTGCGCACCGTCTTCACGGTCCTGCACCAGCACCGGCTCTTCGTCAAGCGCTCCAAATGCGCGTTCGCCGTTGAATCAATCGCATACCTGGGTCACACCATCTCCGCTGCAGGCGTGGCCATGGATCCGGAAAAGGTGCAGGCAGTGGCGGACTGGCCGCAACCACGCTCGGCGCGCGCGGTTCGGGGCTTTCTCGGCCTTGCGGGGTACTACCGCAAGTTTGTCAAGGACTTTGGCGTGGTTGCCGCGCCCCTGACGGCCCTCCTTCGCAAGGATGGTTTCTCTTGGTCGCCGGAGGCGGCAGCAGCTTTTACCACCCTCAAGACGGCAATCACCACGGCTCCCGTCCTCGCGTTACCGGATTTTACACGGCCGTTCATCGTCGAGTGTGACGCATCGACGTACGGTTTCGGGGCCGTCCTTCTTCAGGACCACCACCCGGTGGCTTTCTTTAGCCGGCCAGCCGCGCCACGTCACCGTTCCCTGGCAGCGTATGAACGGGAACTCATCGGCCTGGTGCTCGCGATTCGCCATTGGAGGCCGTACCTATGGGGGCGTCAGTTTGTGGTAAAAACGGATCATTACAGCCTCAAATTTCTGCTTGACCAGCGTTTGGCCACCATCCCGCAGCATCATTGGGTTGGCAAACTCCTGGGATTCGACTTTACGGTGGAGTACAAGGCAGGTAGTACCAACACGGTGGCGGATGCACTTTCCCGCCGTGACACGAAGGAGACGCCGCTCATGGCGGTCTCAGGGCCTCGTTTCGACTTCATCGATCGCCTCCGGCAAGCGACATCCACTGATCCGGCGCTCGTCGCACTGCGGGAGGATATCACGGCAGGTGCGCGGCAACAGCCTTGGGCGCTCTCCGACGGCCTCGTTACTTTCAACGGCCGCCTCTACATTCCGCCGTCATCCCCGCTACTCCAGGAGATTCTCAGTGTCGTGCACGATGATGGGCATGAAGGCGTCCTGCGCACATTGCATCGTCTCCGCCGCGATTTCCACGCACCTAACCTTCGCAAGACGGTGCAGGAGTACATCCGCACTTGCGGTACTTGCCAGCGGTACAAGTCCGAGCACTTGCACCCCGCTGGGCTGCTACTGCCGCTGCCGGTACCCACGGGCGTGTGGACTGACATCGGCATCGACTTCGTGGAAGCGCTTCCTCGAGTAGGCGGGAAGTCTGTCATCCTCACCGTGGTGGATCGCTTCAGCAAGTATTGCCATTTTGTGGCGTTAGCCCACCCATACACGGCAGAGTCAGTGGCACAGGTGTTCTTCGCTGAGGTTGTTCGTCTCCATGGCGTGCCGCAGTCCATGGTCTCTGACCGCGACCCCGTCTTCACCTCCGCTTTTTGGCGAGAGCTCATGCGCCTCACGGGGACAAAGCTGCACATGACGTCAGCATTTCACCCGCAGTCGGATGGTCAAACGGAGGCTGCTAACAAGATCATTGTGATGTATTTACGGTGTCTTACCGGGGATCGTCCCAAGCAGTGGCTCCGGTGGCTTCCCTGGGCTGAGTACATATACAACACCGCCTACCAGACAGCAACCCAAGAGACTCCGTTCAAGCTTGTGTATGGCCGTGACCCTCCGACTATTCGCTCTTACGAGCCCGGCGACACACGGGTGGCTGCAGTGGCCAGGAGCATGGCTGAGCGCGACGAACTTATCGAGGACGTCCGCTATCGTCTACAACAGGCACAGGCGGTCTATAAGTCCTACTACGACAGACGTCATCGGGACATTCGGCATGAGGTGGGCGATTGGGTTTGGCTTCGCCTTCGACAGCGCGCCGCGTCCTCTCTCAACTTGCCAACCAGGGGCAAGCTCCAGCCACGATTCTATGGGCCGTACCGCATTTCAGAAGTGATCAACGACGTGGCATACCGGCTTGAGCTTCCGGCACGCTCGCGCCTCCATGACGTGTTCCACGTGGGTCTCCTCAAGAAGTTCTTCGGCCTTCCTCCAACTACACCGCCGGGATTGCCTTCGATCCACAACGGGGCGGCTGTTCCAGAACCAGAGCGCGTGACTCGTGCGCGCCTAGCACGCGGCGTTCGCCAGCTACTCGTCCACTGGAAGGGTGAAGCAGCTTCGTCAGCTACATGGGAGGATCTTGACAGTTTCGTCGAGCGCTACCCCGCTTTTCAGCTCGAGGACGAGCTGCTCGTCGAGGGGGGGAGAGATGTCATGTGGGGCACGTCTTACAGACGTGGGCCACGCGGCCAGGAGCAGCCGACGGCCGCATCAGGCAAGGCGCAGGCTGGACAGGAGTCCTGATCCGGGCACATTAGTTCCTAGACTAGTTTATTTCGTATAGGTTTCTAGTTTGTTATTAGCCCATGGGGCCTTTATATATCAGACACTTAGCACCCTTTAGGGATAAGGAATAAAGTTATTATCTCCTACCTCTTCCTCTGTCTCCTATCCTCTC